ACTGCCCTGTGCCCACAGAGCAAACCCTTTCTGGGTTTGTCCCCTTTCTGCAGGCCTGGGCTTTGGGAGGTGGGCACCACACACAGGAGCAGCCACAACACTTCCAAAAGCTGGAGGGAGCTCAGGGCTGAGCCTGGCTGGGACATGGCCATGCTGCCCTTGCAGAGGAGAGGCCACAAGGCCAGAGGGTGAGCAGAGCTCAGGGCCTTTCCAGCACTTTGGGGCAGCTCCAGCAGCTCTGGGGCAGGAAAAGGAGCAGCCAGGCTTGAGCCCTGACAGGAATGAGCTGTGCTGATGAAGGGGTTTGGGTGAGAGTGAGGGATGGCAGCTGTCACCAGGGCCTGGGATCGTGTCCTGATCACCAGGGCCCTGCACTTGCATTTTCCCCCATAGCTGAGCCCAGCTGAGCCTCCTGCCTGATTCCTGCCCTGAAAACACCCCCAGTGAAATGGCCAGCAGTGCCAGCAGTGCCACCTCCCTGGCCTGGCAGAGGAGCCAAGGCTGGGGCTCAGCCCTCGCTGGGGACAGCAGAGCCAGGGGAGGGCTGGGAGATGGAGCCCAAGGCTGGGAGATGCTCCAGGGTGGGCACAGACCAACAGGCTGCCAGCACACAGCAAACCCAGTGCCCCAAAAACACCGCAAAAACACCTCCCAGCCAGGGCTGCCCAACACAGCACATCAAAGGCAAAGAGCTCCATGAACAGAACCTCTCAGATCCCCCAGATTCTGTTTCAGATCTCCACAAAGGCTCCCCAGCCATGCAGGCCCTGCCCTCCCTCACAAGGTGACGCTGGTGGCCCCAGCTCAGAGACCATGGCACAGCCCATCCTGACACCTCCAGCTCAGCCTGCTGGGGCTCCTGGCACAAACCCCATCCCCAGGCACCAGAGAAGCAGCACAAGAGCCCAGGCTGGAGCTGGGCAAACCCCACACAGGGGATTTGTGACTCTGGCACAGCATTTCTCCTGCACAGAACCCCCTCACCCAGAGCTGGGGCTGCAAACCAGCACATGGCATTTGCTGAGGACACAGAGAGGGCTCTGAAAGGCCTTTGCTGGAAGAAGCTTTTGTTAAAGAAAGGTTAAAAATAAATAAATTGACTTTTTGTCCCTGCAGGAGGGAAATCTGCAGCACAGCAATGGTTCAGCAGGGAATTGTGTCCTGTGGAGAGCCTCACCTGGAGAGCTCCTGCAAGCTCTGAGTGGCTGCACTGGCCAGACTGGACCTCTCTGGGGTTCTTTTGTGTGCAAAAAAATCACATTTAGCAAGTTCTGGTTGTTAATTCCAGGCTGCCCCTGAGGGGGAACAAGCATCCATCAGTCAGAAATTCTATTTTCAGACACATTTGGGTGAATTCCTCCCTCTCTGGAGTGCTTTACCTCCAAGAACCTCACATCAAACTCAGCCTAGCAGAGAGCTGCTCCTTCCACAGAGGAGACTCCAGCACCTTGTTGGCTGTACCAGGGCTGAGGCAGAGTCCCATTTATTCCTGCCAAAAATATCTCAAACTGAGAGACAGGGCAGGGCTGGGGGGTGGGAGTGTGCAGCCTGAAGGAGAAGGAAAGGGAGGGAAGGATCCAGATCCAGCTGCTGCCCTGGGCTGCCCCAGAGGAGAGGAGCAGCCAGGCTCCTGTGGGACACACAGCAAAGGGACAGCAAGGAACAGGTACAGGATCAGCAAGGGAGCAATTATTCACCTGAGAATGACCAAACCCAGCACCCAAAGAAGATGAGAAATGTCCAGTGAGATGGTCAAAACTCAGCAGGACTGGTCCTGAGCCAGATGGGACAGCTTTAAAGCCAGACCAGCTCCAGGTGCTGTCCAAGCCCAGCTCCTCTGCAATGCTAATCCTCCTCCCAAAGCTCAGCAGCTCCACAAACACAGCTGAGGGGTCCCAGAGGGGACATAGAGCCCTGCCAAGGGCTGGGGCAGAGCATCCCAACCAGACACAAACAGGAACGTTTGCAATCCCTCCGGAGCCCCTCAGTGTGCCCTGGGACAGGCAATGGTCAGAGCTTCCCCTGTTCCAGCAGAGCTGCACAAACAGGACATGGTTATCTCAAAAACCTTTGTTTGTGTTTTTAAACCCACACCTTTGTTTGTGATTTTAAATCCACACCTCTGGTTCTGCAGGGAGATCACTGCCCATGAGATGGGATCCAAGCTGATGTTTGCCTGTCCTGCCCCTGCCAGCAGCTCCTTCCCAAGCACAGATTGTTCTGTGCAGCTCTGCCTCCCCTCACACCTCTCCCCATCAATTCCCCAGCACAAGGGACAAACCTGCCTCAGGAAAAGTCTGGCTTGAGGAGACTCAGCCTCTCCTGGCTGGTTCCAGCCACTCTCACCTGGTGCCAGGGGAGGCTCAGTGCCTGGGGAGCTGCTCTGCATGGCCAGGAGGCTCCCGGTTCCATCCCCACCTCACAGCAATCCCTGGCACACAGACAGAGCTCCGAGCCTCTTTGCTGGACCCATCCCACCTGCAGGTCACCAGACTCAGGAAAATATCCCTGTGCTTGGTGCCCAGGGCAGTCCTGAATTCCCCTTTTTGCTCCCAAGCTGTGGAGTGGATTTTCCCTCAGATGAATTCAAATCCTTTCCTCCTGTTTTGACTGGGAACCCCTAAAAGCTTTGAGATGCTGCAGTGACTCAGAGACAGAGTAAGGAGGTAAATCAAGTAGGTGAGAATAGATTTCCCTGGCTTCAATCATCGGGAGGGATCATTTGCATGCTGAGAACACCCTGTAACACACATCTCCTTCCACCTGCACCTGGGAATTCATTCCCAGCTCCCAGGGACAGTCGGTAACGCTGCTGAGGTCTGGTTTGGGAGACACAGAGCATCTCAAACTCACTGCTCATCCCTTCCAAACCCATCTTCCTGCTTTGGGAGACACAGAGCATCTCAAACTCGCTGCTCATCCCTTCCAAACCCATCCTCCTGCCTTTGGAGTCTGGCTTTGGGAGACACAGAGCATCTCAAACTCGCTGCTCATCCCTTCCAAACCCATCCTCCTGCCTTTGGAGTCTGGCTTTGGGAGACACAGAGCATCTCAAACTCACTGCTCATCCCTTCCAAACCCATCTTCCTGCCTTGGTGCAGCAGGAGAAGAGAAGTGCAGAAATCTCAGCTTTAATTTCCAGCTCATGGCTGGGCAGCAGTGCCCAGGGAAGGGGGAGATCCTGGGCTGGGGAGTCCAACCCCACAGGCTGCCAGGGGTGCCAAAGTATTCCACCAACTCCTGCACCTCTCAGCAGCAGCCTCCTACAACAAGACTGCAGCAAATCACTTAAAATTCCTGTGAAACCCAGGGAATTAGGTCTTTATGCAGCCCCTGTGGCACCTTCTCTGGAGGGTCCAACAAAACACCATAGTGATGTGAATTTTGGAATTCCTGCCCTCCAGATCATATAGTGCCTTGCAGCATCCCTACTTTATGCTGTGCTCCCACAAAAGACAAGGAGGATCAGCCCTGGGGTGAAGGTTTGGCCCCCTGGACTTGGGCAGGAATCCACCAAGCCCCTGGGTGCCAGGGAGGAGAAGCCTTTATTGGATGTTTAATCAGTGCTGATCAGCGGGATGAGGTTATAGCAGTCTCCCAGTTGTGTTTTCCTGGCCCCTACACATCTGGTCTGACCACTGACCCTGTCCTGAGGGGGACACCACCAGAACTTGGGAGAGCACAGAGAGGAATCAGTCCTGCCCTAAAGGCTTTGCCCAGGATGTGCCCTCAGGGATTCAGGTACCCCAGGACAGCCCCAGCCCTGGTGCCTCCTTACAGCAATGAAAGCAAGGCACAAAACCAGACCACAAACAGCCTGACCAGCGCTGGGAGCACACCCAGACTGCCAAAACATTCTGAGACCACATCAACTCCAGGGATTTAGTCCCACTGCACCCCTCAATGCCCATCTCAGCCTTCACGCATGTGAGCCTGGCAGAGTCAGCCCCTCCAGCTCCCAGTGTTTGCCCACCAGAGCCCCAGCACCAGAGCCATCTGGAGGGCTGTCACACCTCACCAGGGACACTCCCAGGTGCTCAGTGTGCCTGGGCTCTGCCTCCCAGCCCTGCAGGCTGAGCGTGTGCCCAGCCCGGCCGCGGCTCAGCACACACCTCCCTGCCCGGCTTCCCCAGCTGCTGCTCCTGGCTCCCTGCCCCCAGACATGCCAAGAGGCACAAGCTGAGGCATTGATTCCTTCCAGCCTAAAGCCTCAAACAAGTAAAATCCCCCCCTGTGAGCAGGAGCCTCCCTGCCGTGCCCGTCTGCAGCAAATGACATCCTGGAAGACGTACAGTACACAGTCACAGGTGAGCAGCATGGATGGGCTGGAAGGCTGGGGAGATGGTGGGGAAAGAATGGAACAGAAAATGGAACGAACAGAACGAGAGCTGAATTAGTGACATTTGCATCCTCATCGTAACTAGGGGACCTGGCTCCTGTGAATCACTGAAATCCCAGTGCAGCACAGAGCATCCTCCTCCTCCTCCTGAAAAACAGCTCCTTCCTCGCTCCACACTCAGCTCTGGGCTTGCAGGAAGGCTGCAGCATTTCCTATGGCAGCTTTTTTTTTTTTTATTGCAGTAACAAATGAATTATTGCTCAGATGGGGGACTGAGCATCTCTCCTGCCACACAAACATGGTGCTAATGCACAGTGGGTACTGTGGCTTTAGCAGGGTAAATAAGCTCGGGGTTTCTGCTGCACAGGGAAGGTGCAGTGCAAGTTAACAGTGGTCTGTGGCAGCCCCACGGTCTCAGGCTGCCATTCAGACATATAAAAAAAAAAACAAAAATCAAGTGGCACCTATAAAAAATTTAAAGGAACTGGTTTCCTTCTGCTCCAGCTCCCTATTTCATAACCCAACTTTAGAGCTGCCGTGGCTCTTTAACATAGATTTGATCCACCACCCCTCCAGCCCGTGCAGGCACTAATCCCTTCCCTCTCATTTCAAAGGGAAAAGGTGCTGCCTCCCCCCAGCCCCCCCAGCAGCCCTGCAATACCTTTGTCCGACATCACTCCCCATGGATCCCATCCTCCGAGACGGTAACAAGGGGCTCACCCCGTGCACATCTTCTGTCGTGCCTGCTGGGACGGTTTTGACGTGGGCATTGCTCTCTGAAGGGGAATTCTTCAGCTTGGCTCTCGCCATCGTGGCAGCCCTGGCTGCCTGAGCGAGTTGCTCCCGTTTCCCCCCTGAACTCTCTCATACATAGCAATCCTCCCCGCAATCACTTTCGAGCTGTCGGCACGTACCATCTCCTTCCTTCTCCTCTCTCCCCGGTCACGGCTGCTCAGTGGAACAATCCTGCCCTGTGCATTTATTTTGGTAGTGAGGGGAGTCAAGGCAAACTCTCTGGCCTTGCTGCCGCAACAAATTTGGTGCAAAACCGCCGAGAAAACGTCCACGATGCAGAAATCTCTGAAAAGGCTTTGTTTGCTGAATAATGAAATTGCCTTCTCTGACTCTGTCAAAAAAAGGATTGCACTGCTCTTATCACCACGGGCAGGGCAGGGGCTGGAGGATTATTTTTTCTCCCCATTGCTGTTTTTTGGTAGCTGCATGAGGAGGAGGAAGCTATTTTATCTTGTTCCTCTGTGTACAGAGCAGCGTGCTCGCTGCGTGCCAGGGAACACACTCAGCAGCTTTGGCTCCCTCAGGCACGCAGCAGCAGCAGAGCTCTGTCCCCTCCTAAATGCTGGGAGCCAGCAGAGAGGAGCTCCTGCTGTTCCCTCAGAGGGGCCAGCAGGGCTCAGCTCCTGCTCACCTGGCCAGGCAGGTGCATGTCACCTGGCCCACAGTGACTCACCTTCCCTCTGCAGGTGACAGCCAAAGCTGCTGCTCCTTCAGCACTCCTGGCATCCATTTCTCAAGATATCCAACAGGAAAGGGAATTCACGGTGGCCAGGGGAGAGCTGAGCTGGAGAGAACACCTGAGGGCACAGGTGGGGCAGAGAAAGGGTCCTGTGTCCTTCCCTCTTTTGGGAATGCCACCAGCCCAGAGCTGCTCCTGCTGTGTTTGCCGGCAGCCAGGAAAAAAAACATCCTGGAGGTGCCCCAGCCTGGGTGGGGCCCAGGGCTCAGCACCACGGACAGCAGTGTCACCACAGCACCAGCAGTGTCACCATAGCACCATGAATGTCGCCACAGCACCACCAATGTCACCCAGCTCCTGCCGTGGCACCCCAACGTGCCAACCCCACCCCAAGTGCTGCCAACCCATCACCCCAGGGCTGCCCCACAGCCCAGCCCCACTGCAGGGCAGTGCTGCCCCTCCGCAGGCTGGAAATAAAGAATTAATTCACTGATGGTCACCACATCATGGCCTAAACAATGGGAATAATCAGGATATGCCACAGGATTTCTTTAAATGTTTTGGTACCAAAATTCAGTGCATGGACTGGAAGGGTCTTGCCAGAGCTTGGGACCTGCAGCTGGGAGAGGGCTGGGAGAGCAGGGCAGGAGCTGCCCTGGGTGGCAATTCTGGGATCCAATCCTTTCCTTTCAGAATGAAAAGCTGACAATTCCCCTTGGCACAGCTCCATGCCCTAACCACACCTTCCAGAATTCACTGTCCTGCGCCAAATGCTGGGAAGAAAAGGCCAAAAGGGCAATCCTTTGCTTCCTCCCTGTGCCAGGAGCTGCTCTGCCCTCTGCTCGTCCCCCAGCCATCACTTACCCCATGGCACAAAGGCAGCCCCCAAAGTCCCCATTTCCTGTTAACCAAATCCTGGTTTCCCTGCTCACAGCGTTATTTCTTAATGGGATTTCACCATCCACACTTTGTTTCTGCATTTTGAAATGGAAAATGGATAAAAACCCGCAGCCCTTTTCTTAATGTGCCAGCTTTCAGCACACATTTAATTTCTTGTTTTGCCTCGAAATGATTCATTAGCTCAATACATTAATTTTCCACCCAAGTCATTCCTTTCTGCTTCATGGTTTGATTCAGACTCTTCAACTTATTGCTCCACATCTCTTTCCTTGGGGGTGCTGTCTTCAAACACCAAATATAATCTGTCATGACCAAATATAACCTGTCATGACCAGATATAATCTGTCAGCCCTCTGGGTTGGTGTGTGTCCTGATAAATCCTCCTGGACCTCACAACAACAGGGATGGGGCAATCAGGTGTCTCTTTTTGGATGAATTCTATATTCTATTCTATTCCTAATTGCAGAAGAACGTTAATTTCAGGCTTGAGATTAGATGTGAAAAGGGGTTTAGGTTTAAGTTATTCATCTCAGCACTAATGCCCTCACACAGCAGCAGGAACAGAGGAGGGATTAGGGAAAGATCTGGGGAATTTTAACAGAACATCTAAACTCTCCTGTCATGCTTGTGCTGTGCAGAAGGTGACAAAAAGCACAAAGAGCCCCGTGAGGAGCTCAGATCCTGCCCACAGAAGCCTCTGCATGAAATCACCTTTTCTGTCAAGCACTTAAACACAAACCAAGAGGGCAATGACCACAGGTCACTAGAAACTGAAACCAGGGCTGTGGGTCAGAGCAATCATTCCCTTTCTGGGGAGAGGAGAGGTGGCCAATGCTGAGCAGAACCTCTGGGAGCCTGGATGATCCTCCAGAGCAACCTGGGGCACCCAGCCCTGCCTGAGCAGCCAGAGCAGCCCCTGTGCTGTGCTTCCACCAGCAAACACTCCTCTCCCAGCAGTGCAGGGGGATCCCCACTCCATCACAGCCCAGCAGCCTCTCCCAGCCCAGCAGAGCAGGGGGAGCAGCAGGAGCTGAGCCAAGGCAGCCCCGTGCACGCAGCACACCCAGAGCTCTCCCCCTGGCAGGGAACAGCCTGTTCCTAGAAAGAGCCATGCTGTCACTTGAGCCAGCCCTGCAGGGACACATCCCCTGCGCCTCTGCCCAGGGACACAGCAGCAAACTCCAATGGAGCTCCTTGTTTGAGCAGCACCTCCTCCCGGGGAGGGGGAAAACCAACCAAACACAACCTCGGGAACATCAAAACCCAAATCAGGATTCCTCATGTCCAGCAGCACCTCCCAGGCCAGCTGAATGCCAACCATCTGACTGCAAGCCAGGAAATGGATGCTTAATTTTAGTTTGAGAGCCCATTACAAAGTGCTGATGTCTCATTTCAGCATCTCCGTGATGCAGAGACCACTGCTGTGCCGGGGGCTGGAGACATGACTGGGAATTGCTGAGCAGCAGTAATAATATTTCAGAAAATAAGATTAAGAAAGAAGCAGATTCTTCATTGCTCTTAATTGAATCCACAGCAACTGCACTGTTAAATATTCTCCCTTTTATGCAGGCCTCTTTCTGTCCTGGCTGCCAAAACTCCCTTTACTCACATATCCAGCTTATTAATAATAAAGCACCACCCTGTCCATTAGAAGCAGTTGATGATACAGGAAGGGGTTGAGTTTTTCCCATTTTCTAGCAAACAAACCTGCTCTGCTCAGACACAACCCAAGGGTGTTAGCTTGCAGGACCCCTGCAGGGAAAGCCAGGTTAATGTATTTTAAAATCATGAAAGGAATCAGCTCATTTTAAAATCTTGAAAGGAATCATCATCAATGCAAAAATCATTCCAAATTCACAAGGAGTAACCTGGGTGGGAAAACACACTTTGGAAAAGGAGCTTGTGCTCACGAGCAGCCAGAACCTCACAGGAGACATTGCCAGAGCTGCTGCTCTAAGGAGGGGCTGTGTTCATACAAATAAATGTTAACTGCAGGGACCCCAAGCTGAAAAGCCATTAATGCTCATTATTATCCCTCCAGGAACCCCTGGACACCCTTGGCAAGCAGCTCTAGGAAAATCACCTTTCCCTGCATGGCCCCTCTGTGTTGTGCAGAGCAACCCTGACCTGCCTTTATTTAATAACACCGAGGAAAAACAAGATCCCGTGTAATTTATGGCTGCCACAAACACCTCCTGCATTTCAGGACCCCAACAAATGTCACAGCATGACATTATCAGCTCAATAAACTTCAGAGGCCACTAATGCTCAGATAAATGCACAAAGCTGCCTGGCACAGCCTCTTGCTGGGGTGTTTTTCACAAAGTGCACACGCACCAGCTCTGCCCCTGAGCCCCAGGGACTGCCCTACATTGTCACCAGGCACTCTGCAAAATTGCTTTGCAAAAGCTGCCAAGGTCTGGAGGGTGCCAAGGCTCAGGCAGAGACCTGCAAAAACCACCCCTCATCCCACTGAGGATCCTGCAGCCAAGGCACAGAAAACATCACTGAAACATCCCTGTGCAGCAGAACTGCAAGGCACAGAAAACACCACTGAAACATCCCTGTGCAGCAGAACTGCCTGGAAATGTCCACGCTTCTGAGGAAATCCAAAGATTTTATTTTTTTCTCTATTCAGTAATTGTCCTTTATCCCTATGGGAAGTTAAAATCACAGAAAAAGGAGCTTCTGCTTCCTCACCAGAATGTTTTTTCCTCTTGACATTTGTCTCAGTGAAAATAGTAAATTTGCCAAAAAGGAAAAAAAATAAAAGAAAATAAAAAATGCTGGTGCTTCATGCTTTTCCTCTGTGCAGAACTTGGCCTTTCCATGCCTGTGCAGTGCCAGAGCTGCTCCCACACACACATGGGGTGCATGGACACCCTCAGAGCCCTCTGGGCCAGCCAGAATCCCCCCAACAGCACACCCTGCTCAAGAGTGCCCCAAGGAACTCTGCTCCCAACAAAACAAATCCTTCTGCCAGGATTTTTAACTTCCATCAGCTCCTGGAATTACAGTTGAACCCAAAGAGATCCAGCTCCTTTCACAGTCAAACATAAAATTCCAATACATTGATTAACTCAGATTGCAGATATTACAATACACAGCAGATGCCTGGGAAGGGATTTATGTAGGTATTTATTAATAAAAGTGCTTTTAGGAAATACTTTTACGACTTTTACCTATTGATCCCGAGTCAATTATCAAAACTTCTCTCCATTTTCTTTCCATTAGCCTGGAGAGGAAGGGCCCTGCCACGGGAGCAGAGCTCAGCACAGCTGGGAGAGCCAGCAGGGCTCTGCCAAAGATGAAATTTAAAATTCAAAGAGGATCAAATCCCTCCTGAGAGGCTGCAGAAGGCTGGGGTGGAGGGGGAATCCTACCTGCCAGTGCCAGGAGGGGCATCCAGGTGAGCTGGGACTGATCCCATGGGACAGACACAGATCTGTGGGGCATCCAGGTGAGCTGGGGTGGGTCCCATGGGAGAAACATGGATCCATGGGGCACCCAGGTGAGCTGGGGCTGATCCCATGGGACAGACACGGATCTGTGGGGCAGGTGCTGCTGGAGCAGGGCAGGGCCAGCCACACTTTGCAATTCAAAGCACTTGCACACCAGTCCTGCCTTGATCTCCTGTGCCCAGGGTGGCGGTTCCTGCCTTCCCCACTCCCTGCAGCTCAGTGCCACAGGTATTGTGAGGATTTCCCGGGATTTTGGCTTCCTCTGAGGTGAATC